GAATGGAGGGATCATAACTTTTTTAGAAATTGCCAAAAAAAAATGTATTCCAAAGCATATGCTTTCTTTTACCTTCCTACTAGCAATTTATAAGAATTCCAGTCCCCCCACTACCTTGACATGGTTTGTTGTAGTCAGTATTTTCGTTCTACCCATTCTAATAAATGTGTATTGATATTACATTGAATTCTTAATTTATGTTTTCTTTATAACTAAATGTCAAACATCTCTTTACTTGCTTATTTGAGATCTATATATTTTCTTTGGTGAAGTATCTATTCAAATATTTTGCCCATTTTTAAAATTGCTGTTGTTTTCTTATGAAGTTTAAAGAATTCTTTATATATTCTAGGTACAAGTCCTTTCTTAGATATGTGATTTGCAAATATTTCCTCACAGTTTGTTGTTTACATTTTCATTTTCTCAACAGTGTCTTCCAAACAGCAAAACTTCATATTCATGAAATCTAATTTAACAATTTTTTTCTTTTGTGCATCGTGCTTTGTTGTTATATCAAAGACATCTTGGCATTATCCCAAGTAAAAAAGATTTTCTGTTATACTTTTCAAACATTCGTTGTATACTTTTAGGTTTTCTTTGGGTCTATAATAAATATTGAGTTAGTAGTAATATAGTCAAATATTTATGGAAAGTAATAAAATTTGACTATACATTTAGGCAACAGAAGAAAACATCAAATTCCAAAAGTATGAATAATAGAGACAAAATTATTTAAGCATAATGATAAAATAGACTTCAGTTAAAAATAAAGCTGTCATTTGGGAACTGTTTAAAAATATGTCATAAATATTTAGTTAAAGTTAACACAAAATAAAACTGCACATTATATAGAAAATCACAACATTGATATTTAAAAATCAATGGAAACCAACTAAAGCACTGATTAAATAAAAACATCTAGTCTAGAATAATGTATTAAGAAATAAAAATTAATTTTATAAATGTTTAGATCGAGGTTGAAATCATAAAAATTAGACTAAAACCAGAACAATTTTAAGAAAATGATTAGAAAAGAACTAAGAGAAAAAAACATTAATTTTTAAAATTAAATTAATATTGGTTAATAAAATCATATAGGTTTCGAGTACACAGTACAGTAATATGTCATATGTATATTGCATTATGTGTTCACCACTCAAAATTAAATTTCCTTCCCTCTCCATATATTTGACCCCTTTCACCCTTATCTATCTCTCACCACACCCTTTCCCTCTGGTAACTACTGAACTATTGTCTGTGTCTTGTGAGTTTTTATTTGTCTTGTTCATTTGTTGCTTTCAATGAAACCATATGGTCCTGAACTTTTTTGTCTGACTTATTTCACTTAGCATGATGACTCGAGATCTATCCATGTTGTCGAAAATGGTAATACTTCATCTTTTTTATGGCCGAGTAGTATTCCATTGTATATATGTACCACGTCTTCTTTATCCAATCATTTATCTAAGGGTACTTCGGTCGTTTTTATGTCTTGGCCACTGTGAATAATGCTGCAGTGAATAACATGGTGCGTACATCTTTATGAATAAATGTTTTCAAACTTTTGTGGTAGATAACCAGGAAAGGGGTTGCTAGGTCATATGATAATTCTATTCTTAATTTTTTGAGGAAACTCCATATTGCTTTTCATAGTGGCTGTACCAATTTACATTCCCACCAGCATTGTGTGAGGGTTTCTTTTTTCCCACAATCTCTCCAACACTCGTTATTACTTGTCCTATTGATGATAACCATTCTAATGGTGTGAGGGGGTATCTCATCGTGGTTTAATTTACATTTCTTTAATAGCTAGTTAAGTTGAGCATCTTTTCATATGTCTGTTGGCTGTTCATATGTCTTCTTAGGAGAAGTGTCTGTCTATTCAGGTCCTCTGCCCATTTTTTAATTGGATTATTTGTTTATTTGTTGTTGGGTTGAATGAGTTCTTTATATATTTTGGGTATTAGCTCTTATCAGAGGCATTGTTTGCAAACACCTTCTCCCATTCAGTTGGTTGCCTCTTTGTCTAATTGATCGTTCCTTTTGCTGTGCAGAAGCTTTTAAATTTGATATAATCCCACTCATTTTTTTTTTGCTTTTATTTCCCCAAATTTATAAAATCCTCTCTAAATCCAAGGTCTGTGAGTTCAGCACCTATGTTTTCTTCTATGCAATTTGTTGTTTCAGGTCTTATATTTAGGTCTTTGATTCATTATGAGTTAATTTTGGAGTATGGTGACAGATAGCAGTCTAGTTTCATTCTTTTGCATGTTTCTTTCCAATTTTTCCTGCACTATTTATTGAAGCTTTCTTTTCTTCATTGTATATTTTTGGCTCCTTTGTCAAAAACTATTTGCCCATATGTGAATTTATTTCTGGGCTCTCAGTTTTGTTTCAGTGATCTGTGCATCTGTTTTTCTGCCAATACTATGCTGTTTTGATTTTTTTGCTTTGTAGTATAATTGAAGTCAGGCAATGTGATACCTCTGGCCTTGTTCTTTTTACTCAGGATTTCTTTGACTATTCAGTGTCTTTTGTGATTCCATACAAATCTGATGATTTTTTTACTCTATTTTTTTTTTAAAAAATGCCTTTGGAATTTTGATGGAGATTGCATTAAATTTGCATATTGCTTTGAGTAATATGGCCATTTTAATTATGTGGATTCTTCCAATCCACAAACATAAAATATCTTTTCTTTTTTAGTATCTTCTTCAACTATTTTTAATAATGTCTTATAGTTTTCCGTGTATAGGTCCTTCACATGCTTTGTTAAGTTTATTCCTGGATATTCTATTATTTTTGTTTGCAACTGCAAAAGGAATTGTTGTTTTCATTTCTTTTTCTAAATTTCATTTTTAGTGTATAGGAACACAATAGATCTTTGTATGTTGATTTTGTATTCTGCAAATTTATTATATTTGTTTATTGTTTCTAATAGGTTTTTAGTGCAGTCTTGGGGGTTTTCTATATAGAGCAGGGGTCCTTAACCCCTAGGCCATGGACAGGTACTAGTCTATGGCCTGTTAGGAACCAGGCCACACAGCAGGAGGTGAGCGGCAGGCGAGTAAAACTTCATCTGCATTTGCAGTGCTCCCCAGTTCTAACATCACTTCCTCAGCTCCACCTCAGATCATCAGGCAGTAGATTCGCATAGATTCACCAGTCCCTGGTGCCAAAAAGGTTGGGAACCGCTGATATAGAGAATCATGTCATCTGCAGAAAGTGACAATTTCATTTCTTCATTCCCAATTTAGATGCCTTTTATTTCTTTCTCTTGCCTGATTGCTCTAGCTTGGATTTCTGATACCATATGGAGTAAGATTGGTGAGAGCAGGCAGCCTTGTCAAGTTCCTGGTCTTAAAGGGAAGGTTTTTAGTTTTTCACCATTAAGTATGATATTAGCTGATAGTTTGTCTTCTGTGGCCTTTATTATGTTGAGGTACTTTCCTTCTATATGCACTTTATTAAGTGTCAATCATATATGGATGCTGTCAAATGCTTTTTCTGCATCTATTGATATGATCATTTGATTTTATCCTTTATTTTGTTTATGCGATGTATCACATTGATCGATTTGTGTATGTTGAACCATTCTTGGTCCCCTGGAATGGATCCCAATTCATCATGATGTATAATTTTTTTAGAAACATATAACAGTGACAACTATTTTAGACCTCCAAGATATGTTTTAGCTAATCTAATTCAGAAAAAGGCAGATAACATTCAAATGGAAAATTAGAAATGATAAAGGAGAAGTAGCTGCTGAGAGAGAAAATTGGAGGGAACTATTTGCTGAAATCTCTAAAAATAAACTAGGAGATCTGAATAAAAGTTTATTTTCATAGAAAATATAAATAAATGTAAATAAATATGTATAATATATAAATATATAAACAATTATAAACAAAACTACTTTCACAAGAGTGACTACATTATCATAGAAAATACCTCCTAAAATGCCTCAGGTGAATGTTTTTTCAGATAATTCTCACATATATATTTAAATTCATCAATAGTTAAGATATTTTAGAATATCAGTCATTTTCTTTTATCCAATGTAGTGGCCAACAGAGAGGTGAAAATATGCTCAACTTCACTAGCTATTAAGGAATTATGGTATATTTTTGAAAAAATAGAAATTTTGATTTTCAAATTTATGTGAAATACATATAATATTTAAACTTAGATATACAACAACTCGGACAAATAATACACATATGAGTGGTGCATTCATTCAGATATTAGAAAACAACTGGGACTGCTTTACATTGATTTATCAAGGGATCCTTCCCTCTCTCATTAAGAGTCTCTGTTACAACTCCCCTCAGCCATAAGGACTCACAACTGATGCTCTAGATCAGACTAATGGCTGTCCTCAAACTTCTGCTATTGAATGTACCCATTTCTTCCACCATTAAGTATACAGTAAGCACATCCTCTACTGCTTCAGCCTCTCCTCTATCCTGAAAAATTCACTTCATAACCCTTTATGTACCTTCTGTTTTCTTTCATTAACTGACATATTTAGGTAAAATATATAGTTTATATATACTGTCTTTTATGCTTTCTTCTGGTTCCTTTAGAGCTTTTAAATTTCAGTTCTAGTTGTTTTTTTTTTTTTTGAAGTTGACGTTCAATATTATTTTATATTAGTTTCAGGTGTACAGCAAAGTGGTTAGACATTTATGTAATTTACAAAGTGATTCCCTGGATTAGTCTAGTACCCACCTGGCACTATACAATATTATTGACTATATTCCCTATGTCTTCCATTCATGTTCCCCATGACATATACCAGAAGCGATTGGGGCTGCTATTGTTGATTTCTGTAAGTCCATGGAGAAAACGTGAACCCAGTCCATCACACAGGATGAGAAGAAGCTGGACACTTAGCCTTTAACATGAGGGCTTAGCAGCTGCTTCACAAGTGGCTGCTTTGAGGCCATGAGTGGGATGGAGAACCGCTGAAATCACACCAGAAGCCCTCTATATGGTCATCACTTTGGCCTGAGCCCAGCTCTGCTGAGCACCTTGACTAATGCCATTCGCACCTCCCTGTTCCTCAGACTGTAGATGAGGGGGTTAAGCATGGGAGTGACGAGGCCATAGAAGAGGGAGGCCACGTTATCCTGCTGTGGGCTGTGGTAGGCACCTGGTACCATGTACACGAACACTGCTGCGCCATAAAACAGCCCCACGACTGTGATGTGAGAGGAGCAAGTGGTGAAAGCTTTATTTCGAGCCTCCTCTGAGCGCATGCGTAGAACGGCCCCCAACACATGGCCGTAAGAGGTGGTAATGAGGGACAGGGGAAGAACAAGGATCAGAACCCCCGAGATTGACAATGCCAACTCATAGGCAGAGGTGTCTGCACAGGAGAGTTTTAGCAGGGCTGGCACCTCACAGAAGAAGTGGTCCACGATGTGGGAGGCACAGTAGGAGAAGTTCAGAGTGACAGAGGTCTGGATGGAGGCGTTGAGCACACCTGCCAGCCAGGAGCAGCCCACCATGAGCAAGCATACCTGGCGCCTCATAAGCACAGGATACTGCAAGGGGCGGCACACAGCAACATAACGGTCATAGGACATGAGGGTCAACAGGATGCCCTCAGCCACGCCCATAAGTGTGAGGAAGAATATTTGAGCTGCGCAACCCCCAAAGGAGATGGAACCTTCTCCCTGCAGGAAATCTGAAGCCATCTTGGGGATGGTGACCAGCGGGAAGCCGACATCAAACAGGGAAAGCTGACTGAGCATGAAATACATCGGTGTGTGGAGTCGGGAGTCCATGTAGATTAGGAAGAGCAGGACAGCGTTGCCCAGGAGGCCTACAATAAACATGGCAGCCACCAGGGAGAAGAGTAGCTGTGGTGACCTTGAGTGACTGAAGAGGCCCACCAGAAAAAAGTCAGAGGTCACCGATTGATTCACATCCCTCATGTTTTACATGACATAACTTTGCTGCAAGAAGAACAGGAAACCAATGGCAAGAAGCCTGTGTGAGGATGGCAAATAAGTTTCATTCCACTTGCCAATGGCCATCAATTGGTAGTGGCTGCCTAGAGTGCCATCTTGAGAGGAGTTATGAGGTCACAGCTGAAATCAGTAGTGGGAAAGCAATAATCAGTTTGTGATATTTGTCACAGGCATGAGATGGGAGAGCAGTCACTTGAATCTCTGAATAAGATACTTGGCCACATCCCAATCGAGGGCTTCCCACTGACTCTTATAGTCCAAATTCTGAGGTCCACATCAAAGACATTAATACAGCCCTAGTAGAACATTTCAATAGTCCTTATCTGAGTGGTCCTGGGGCCAAATAGGTGTGAAATTCCAAAAAGGCTGGGAGGTGAAATAGGGGATGATGGAGCTGAAGCAACAACCCAAGCAAGAAAACAGAGAGATGGACCTTGATCCAAGTACCTGGATGAAAATCTGCAGCAAAGAGCAATGTATTATCAGCCAGCAATGGGGTCAAATTGAAGTTGTGAATCTAGTGAGTCTGGGCCATAGAGGCACTTGAGTGACAGACAGCATTTTGGGGATCAAATGGCCTAGGGCTAGGTGGATGAGACAGTTATCAATGAGCTCAGTTATTATTGGTGACCTAGTTGCATTGGATGGGAAAGTAGCAACCTGTGGGTAGTCTGACTCAATTTCAAGGACTAGAATAAAGCACCAGGCCTGCAAGATTGTGAGTCTCTAATAAATATTGCCTGAGTGAATGAGACAGACAAGAATGAGATGGACTAGAAAGAGCTGCAAACCTAAATCAGGAATACTTAAAAACCCTTGACAACCTCCAAGATCCCAAGTAAACTCAGATTGCGCTGGAATACCATACACTACACACAGTTCCAACAGTGAACAATGCAGAACCAGAAGAATATTTATTCCCAACTGTGAGTAGTTTGAGAAGTAGCAAGACAGATCATTTAAAGGCAAGTGGATTCTACTGAAGTCCTCACTGGAGCTCTTTGTCCTAAGGCTGTCATTCTCACACAGATGACCTTCAAGGCTGTCTTTAATTATTCATTTTGCTGATTTTCCTATCACATTCAAGCCCTCAACCTACTATTCACCTATGCACTCAACAAAATTTGTCACATGCTAGGTTGGACATAAGATATTCATCACCCAGGCAAGGTGCTCCCTTCCTTGAACCCCACAGTCTCTATCAGGGTTTCAGTGACAAACAAAGAGATAAATGGACAAGATCTTTGAGATAGAGGGAAGTACAGTGAGGGAAGTGGGTGGAATTTTTCATAGGAAATGGCTGGGGACACCATAGGACATGATCAGATAAGCCTCTTGGGAGAGATGACATGCCCTCAGTATCTGAAAATCTTCAATAAGAGGGATGTATGTGGTACAACCAACTGCTTCCTGCTGCTGGGAGGTAGATGTTAATGAGGCTGGCTGTGTGGTTCACCCTAACGAAGAACTTTCTAACAATGAAATCCAACCAAAAATGGAATGGGCTGCCTCACTGGTGTCATTTTCCACAGTCAGTCAGTGACATATGGGAGTAAGATAACTTAGTCCTATGGTTACAAAATTTAGAGTTCAAGGAAAAGTGAACATTGTTCACATCATTTCAGAATAATAGTCTGATCTGCAACACAATAAAGACACATACACAATACTTTGGGTACCCAGTGGTTGGACTTCTGCCTCGGATCAGGTCAGGAAAGGATTCACAGAGGAAGAGGCATTGTGCCTGAGTTTCGAAGGTCAGGTAGGAGTTTTTCAGGCAACTAGATGTGGGAAAGTTGTTTCAGAGCAAAGGAATTTAGCACATAGGCTGTATGGATTGGTGATTAGGAGCGTGTACGGAGGAGTAAGATTAAAATGAGCTTGTATCGCAGCTCAAGTATTTTGACTTTGGGTAGCTATTCAAACTCAGTTTCTTCATCCATAAAATGAGTGGCAATAATGTAAAGATTAAATGAAAGGATAAATATTAAGAGCTTAGTGTCTGTCATGTGGCAAGTGCTCAATAAATTATAAATAATTATACACATAATTATTAAATATATTATAATAATATCTACAAATCGTATAATTATAGAATTATTACTAATTTTCTTGAGAGGAAAAACATCAGTTCTTACAGTCAACCACTAAAATATTAAATGGAAAATTCCAGAAACAAACAATAAGTTTTAAAATGTAGCATGAGTAGCATGATTAAATCTCACACCATCCTATTCTGTCCATCCCAGAACATGAATCATCTTTTTGTCCAGTGTATCCACACTGTATACCCTACCCACCATTAGTCACTTTGTGGCAGATTTGATTATTGGATCAACGGTCCTAGTATCACAGTGTTTGTGTTCAAATAACCCTCATTTTACTTAATAATGGCCCTGAAGCACAAGAGTAGTGATGCTGGCAATTTAGATAAGCCAAAGAGAAGCCATGAAGTGCTTCGTTTAAGTGAAAATATATATGTATAGGAAAAAACATAATATCTATATATAGGGTTTGGTATTATTTGCATTTTCAGGCATCCCCTGAAGGTCTTGGAACGTAGCCCTTGTGGATAAGCAGGGACTGCTGTGTTCTATATTACGGCCTCTTTTGAGGTCAAGCCTGTGCCACTTTATGATTTCCTAGGTAGAAAACCACATACCCATTCTCTGGCCTCTGAGATCCCTTAGCAGAGTCTCTAACAGTTCATTCATCCCCAACTCCATTGGTTTACAACAGGGTTTTTCTACCTTATCATTATTTAGAGACCCATAAGTCTTTGTTGTTGGGAACTGTCTTATGCACTGTATGAAGTTTAGCAGTACCCTTGTCCTCAGCTCATTTAATACCAGTTGCACTCCCCTCCATCCCTAGTCATGAAAACCAAAAATGGCTCCACATATAGTCAAATGTCCCCCAGAGGGGCAGAATCACCCCCAGTTGAGAATCTCTGGCTTAAAGACAGAATAATTGTAACCTGCAGGGACTCTAATCAGCAACTTCTCTTTCAGATGTTTATTTTAAAATAGTATTAAGCTCAGACCCAGCAAAAATCTTGAGAATATTGTACAATTTCTATGTCCTCATACAGAAAAAAAACTAATCCTTACCATCAACATATAACTAACTAATCCCCAAATCACAAAGTCTCCCAGCTGGTAGAATAGCTTTTACTGCAGACTCCTATCAAGCGCTGTTTAAGTATCCAAATGAATCTGGCCTTGTTTCATCCACTCACATAGTCTCACTCGAAAGAAGCTGATTCCAATCGAGTGCTGACTGTGTAGCAGGTATCAAGTGTTTTACATGCTTAACGCTTTAATCCTTAAGTCCTGGAGATGGATGGTGGAGAAGGTTGTACAACAATGTGAATACACTCAATAGTATCAATAGTAAATTTGAAAGTGGTTAAGATGGTAAATTTTGTTATGTATATCTTATTGCAATAAAAAAATAATCACTACCTATAGATATTATTTTTCCATATCTTTTGGATGAGAAGACAGACATTCAAAGAAGTGTAGTGACTTGTCCAGCATCACCCAGCAAGGAAGTAAGAGAGCCAACATTTGAACAAAAGAGGGATCTGATTTCAAATTCCCTGCTCTTCCCTTTGCATTCAACACACTCCCCCAAACACTGTAATAAATTTATTACACACACACACACACACACACACACACACACACACACAGTCCTGCATGCCCACAAACTTACGTCTCCTTTCAGGATGTCCAAGTAGTCCCACTGCTATCGATCTATCTTTTAAAAAAGACACGCTCTTGGGTGACTCTGCTGCTGCCAAGTGACCAGGGGAAAGGCGCCAGCATTACTAACCTTCTTGTGCCAATAACATTTTCACTCCTCTTCACTATGACCAGTCATGATCTGTACCCTTGGTCACCTAATTAATTGAATGACAATTTGCATAATACTGTCATTTACTGTTTATTTAATCTTCACACCTAATTACTCCAGCTTAAGGATTTGTAGCAGAGCTTGCACAATAAATATATGTTGAATACATACATTCTGCAAGAGAAACGATATTTTTGTTGGAACTAATATTATTGACAAATGGGCTGAGAGAGGGTAAGTGACTAACCTAAAGTTGCACAGCAACTGAGAAGGCAGGTTAGAATTTGAACCCCCATTGGATTCCAAATCCTAAACACTCTCAACTCTGAATGCTGCATCTTTCTTGAAGTTAATGCTCATCTCTTTGGCCCAGGAGTTTAGAACTAAGAACTCCTCTGGGGGAGGGGATTACTGTTGTGGATAGCCAGTCCTCAGAAGGTGAGCTGAAGATGACCTCAACCTATGCCAGATAGATTATTCTGGTACCAGCCCCATGATCAAGGTCAGGTGCCCATGTCTGTCTGTTTCTAACAGTTTTTATGAAAGGTCCACATTAGAAGACTTTGGATTGAACATCAACACAGATGATTTCCTGCTGTCTAGAGACCTGATTTTCCTGGGTTCATAGCAGTGAAGACAGTCAGAGAAAGAATAAGCATTCAGCATAACAAGACATCTACCTGTAGGTTGGCAAATATCCAAAAAGGTAGATAGAAATCTATCTTTCCATTCAAATATCTATATACACTCAACCCACCATGTCTGTGGAAAACAACATTAACAATTCTCTGGATCCTTCCTGCCACTAATGTCTAATGTCTAAATAGTGCTTGGATCCCCAAGATCCTCATAAAGTTGGGTTCCAGGTTCTCACCCCCACTCACCAGGGTCTGTGTGAAGAGTAAGAGACCTTCCTTAATACCCCATGAGCATGTCAACCACTCTCATTCCAAGATAGACCCTGATAAAACCTTCCTGGATTCCACTATCATGGGTGTAACCAATACTGCCTCTGTCTATGCAGTGGTAGATGTCATTATCTGGGGATAGAGGCTCCAGAGAGAGCTGACACATCAGAAACTCCTCTGGGTCTCCATTTCTGCTAG